ACAAGTCTCCTATGCAGGGCTGTAAGTGTCTTGAAGGGCTAGAGGACCTTGCTTGTTCTGTGACCTATTGTTTCTTCAGCATTTTATAGTGGCTGGCACATTAAAATGCATTTGATAAATATTTATTATTATTATTACTGTTAAAACGTTGGATACATATTTGTTGCATGACCATATGAACATGCCCTAAAGCCACACAGCTGGCAGTTGGTGAATCCAAAATTTGAACCCAGGCTATTGACAGCAGTGAATACAGTTGCCATTGCCTGTGAGCTTAGTAGCGCCCTTGCTCAGCCACTCATCATCTCACTTACTACTCACAAGCTCCTTAAAAAGAGATATTCTTATCCTTTTTGACTAATGAGGGTTTTGAGCCCCGCAGTTCCTATGTTTCTTGCCCAAGATCACCTACTGAGTCTCTGTCCTTCAAACCTTGAATTACGGTGCACTAACTAATCCTTCTCTCTTCACAACCCTTGTAGTGGTGGTGCCAGAGTACCCTTGGCTGCCTACCAGGGAGCATTCTGTTTAACTCACTGGGTCTCCAGGTGCCAAGAAATCCATTTGGCTGATTTTTCTCTCCCTACTGAATTGGCTAATTTGTTTTACTGAATTGACCAGATCAGCTAGTGATTTCAATGGTAAATCAGATTATGCTTGTCCATTTTTTAAAAAATAAAGTCTCCAACTTCCAGGAACCTACCTAAGCACTAAGGGTGAAGAACAGCTAACCTGTAGTTCAATTAGAAAATCTTGGACATATGCTTAACTTCTGTAGGTGTCAATTACCTTATCATTAGAAATGAAGATTATAACAGTTCCTGCCTAATCTGGTTATTGATAGGATTAAGAGAAGTAACTGTTTAGTTCCTAACACAATGCTTGATCTTTAAGGAGTTTTGTTGTGCAGTAGCTGCTATTATTGCATTTAGTGATATTAATCTTAACCTTAACATTTAATTTCAGTAGTATCTTTGTTCTATGGCTTTCACTGACTTCCTCAATCTAAAACATTTAGCTTTCTTGGAAGGAAAGCAGAGTAAACTACTTGCTTGTCATTGGATAATGCTCCTTCCTTATGGAGTCTAAATTGTGTTACAAAAAATGGCTCCAGTCTCTTATTCCCTATCCTCTCTTCTAATTATAGGCATTTTTAATATAAGTTCATTCATCTTTTCACTACCAGCCTTTCACTGTGCCTAACATACCAGTGCTTCATTGGGGTTGTTGAATTGAATGAATAGGTCAAATGACTATTCATAGTGAGTGGATAGGTACATTTTGTTGGTATATCATTGCTGAGGCCATTGATGGCATTACTTTAGTTTTCATATGTGTAAAGACAATATAGTCTTTACATCTCTTGCTTTCTATAAAGATTTTCACTATCTATATAGAGGAGATCAATTTTAATTTTGTACTTTTTTAAAGGCTTGCTAGTGCTATATTATATCCCTTTTTTCTTCTGCCATTCCTGCCATAGGGCTTTATGAAAAGACTTACTTTCATTTAAGCTTGTATTTTGCACATGACTTTAAGGTATACATTGTACTCTTCCCCCCATCAAGAATACATTACCATTTTACTCTGTCATTATGCTGTCAATCTGTAAAGCCCTTGAGAAAGAAAGAGAGGCCTTATTTTAAATAGGCCTCGTACTTTGCTGAAGAGGTGAGTGCACTATCTACAATTCTATTCTTGTCAAGAATAGGCTTTTGAAATTTTGAAGTGAAGAAATGAAATTTAGGAGAGCTACCAAACCATGAAAGATCTAAGAAGAAAAAAAGAAGTCAAAAGGAGAAAACAATAAAATTCAAAGACATTGCCAATTGGATAAAGCTCACTGTAGAGTTTTGCAGAACGACCTTGCCTTATTTTGAAATAACTTAGTATTCAACAAGGAATGCCCTGAATGGTCAGACTGAGGTAAAAGACATGGAATTCACCCTAATAAAAAAATTATAGTTGAAGGCCACTGAAGATCAGGTAACCAGGCCATTGCTAGTGGTCACAAAGTAGAATATTTTCAGTTTGAATTTTTAGATGAAGGTGATAGAAATTGGAGTGTCAACTGAATGAGAACAGGAAAGGGGAACATTTAGTAACCATTCCCAGAGAAATGGTTTGCAAGTGGTGGTTGGAGGTTGTTCCTCTATTTCCAATGAAGTTTGGATGAGACAATTCACTTGAAGTAAAGCAGGAGAGATTTATGTAGGACTCAGACAAACTTTCTGCTTTCTGAGATCCTCGAGAATGTTACTAAGTAGGGCAGAATTTGCCCCACAAACAAGCTTGGAGAGTTTTCCAAGATTCCAAGTCTTTAGGAAAGGTTTCCAGGGACAGCACTGCTACAGTCCCAATTGTTCTCTGGGATAATCTGACCTGATTCACAAAGGAAGCGTATGGAATCTCATGGACTTCTGACTTTACATAAGAAGGTGGGTGGCAACTAGGCAGGGGAATAAAGCAGTTCTTTTGCAGATAGAAGCTGAGACCAGCCCAATTGCTTCATAATTGTTCAAATGCTACAGCAAATGATAAACTGCAGTTAACTTCCTTTGCCAAATATATAAAACATTTTTACTTTTACTTAAAACTGAATTTTTTTGATGTGAAAGAATTGATAGGTTAAGTTTCATGTTGGAGAATTACTTACAGACAGCAATCATGGTGGGGGAACAATCCCTAAAGCTACTTCTGTGAAAATCTCAATCAACTGCTGCTAGCTTTTGCTTTGCAAAACTTTGACATATGTCCCTTGACCTTTACCAACTACCCTTTCACGTTTGACACTTCACATGTGCTACATGATTAAAATTCAGCGTTAATTAATTTCAACATTATCAGTTAAGTTATATTTAGCTAAGAACACTCACTTTTGTCTTTTGTGAGTAGCATAGCAGTATTATTACAAAGAGGTAGTCAGGAGGGCAACAGAGATAGGAGAAGAGAAGAATGATTCAGTGTGTAGATAATTGTTTCGAGTGAAATTTAGCTTGATATTTTTGTTCCTGTCCTCAGTAGAACTGAGATTTAGCACCTCCTGCTGGCATTTAGCCCCCACCCCCATGTAGAAGGAGGCTGTGCTGTGTGGATGCTGAGAATGAACCACACCAGAATTAAATTATAGCACAATTCTAACACTGAAGTAGTTTTCTCTGGCCAGCACTTGGGTACAATCCTGATGATCTCAAAAGAGAGGCAAGGTACTGCTAGAAAAGATTGCCATGTGGGGTGGCATCCTCATCAATGAGGGAGGTTGAAAAGATTTTATAAACAGCATGGCCCCAAAGTAGTGACTGTTCCCAAAGTAAACAGTCAAACACCAAAATATTTAGCCACAGCAGAGTTATAATTCTAAGCTTAAAAGTGCCATCCATGAAGTTGTCTTCCTAATGACTTATTCCATAGCATGATCAAAAAGTTCATTAGAAATAGATAAAACCCAAACTTGACCTCTTTTTCTGAGTTTTCTAACTGAAATCATTTTTATTAGCTTCTCTATTCCATGTTCTTTTGCTCCTTCGGTAAGAAAGTGGATAGGTGAATCTTGCTTTTACCTAACGCTCAACATGTTGTAGAATCATCACAGTCTTTGGGATGTTGGAACAAAACTGGCCTATAAATTTATTATGTCAGTGAAATACTTTTTTTTTTCTTTTCTGCTCATATAGGGCAGAAAGAAAAATGTTCTCCATTTTGTTGATAGAGCGGGTGAAACAATTTATATTTAAGTTGTCCGTGTAGGACTTGTTGAAGACCTAGTAGTAGATGTTGGCCTTGTTGTGACAATATACCAAGTAACCCTCAGTTGTTTACACAAAACAAAACAAATAAAACTTTGTAAGCATTTTCATTTGAACAGAAAACATTTTTCCATCAGTAACTCAACTTTTGTGTTCCAGAATCTGGCCCATGCCCTCATCTCATCCTCTCCTGTAGAGGAGGGAGTTGGATCTCTGGTGGATTATATTTTCCTGTCCGCTCCCTAGAAAAGATTTGCCACCTCAATTTGTAGCTTTAGTAGTCAAGTGACTCATCATGAAGCTACATCTCACTAGTCAGGCACTGCTAGAATGCCTCTGGATTGGTGCCCGGCCTTAGGTCTTAATCCTGAGCCAAGTCTACCTTTGCTCTTGATGGGACACCAAATGCCTATGTGAGGCCCTGTAAAAATCTAATCAGCACCTGTAGGAGGGGGTCACTGAATTTTCCTTAGTTGTTTTTGTTTCCCCACCCCGGGATAGTAAAGTCCTATATCTGAAACCTACTGTTATCATTTAAGTTTTACTCTCACTGGGGCCAGGGATTTAGCTCAATGGCACCCCACCTGCCTTGCAAGCACAAGGTCCAGAGTTTGATCCCCGGCACCAAAAACAAACAAACGAACAACAAAAAAAACCCACATTTTACTGACACTGAAAACATCCCTGATTTAACCTGCCTGCTCTGGCCTCTGACCGGGGCCTCCTCTGGTTTCCCTGCCACCTGGCTCTGCTCACGTTTGTACCTGTAACCCTCTACCCTCCAGCCTCCACCAGTCACTGGACCTCCTGGAAATGCTGACTTGTTTTTTACACTGGACTGAATCTCTTGTAGTCCAGATTTTACCCACACTATCCATACCTTCCCACTCTACCTGGGATGCAGTTGATCTTGCTTGGCCAATCATGAGGTAATTCAGGAGGAAGCTGAGCTGTGATATCACAGGAGCATAATAAGATGGGTAAATCATCAGCTATATTTAGGAGCACATAACTTTTCTTTTAAAGAGTGGGAAGATTTCATACAAATATAGCTTTCTGTTCCTTGAGTCTTTTACTCTCTTTTGGCTTCACCTGAGGGATAAGGGGAAACATACACTTCAAACATTTATTTTCAAATAAGGAAGTTAGGTATATTTTTCTTCATTGTTGACTGAACCTAGCTGTCCATGCACCTTGAGATGAAAGATGGTTTTAGTTTGTAAATTACTTTTCTCTCTGTTTTTCCATTTTAAGGTATTACACAATGGCCTCGTTATGGAGATGAACCATCCAACAGTGGGGAAGATTTCAGTTCCAGGTTTGAACATTTCTGTTATTTTTGCTAATACTTTTCTTCATTAATTGTCTCATTTGCTGTCTGCTGCAGGTGGCTGATGAATCCCCCAAACAATTTATCAAGACAGTATGCAAAGTTATACTTTGGGTTGAAAGGGGATGGTAAGAACACACTTACAAGAAAGAGAGCTGAGACCACAGGGATATGTCTTAGCTCTGAGGAATGTGTGATTGCCTCAGTGACAAAACATGTCCACACTTCCTCATTCCATTTTGTGTCATTTTGTATACCCAGAAGTACATGATGTAATTATCATCAGATGGCGAATAATAGATGGGGAAAATATTAAGAAACAGAGTGTGGTCATTTTGGAATGAGAAAGAAAAACAGGCAAGATAGCAGCAGTTATTTTCTTCTGTATGGTTTATGGTGTAGATCTTGGCTTTGCCAATCAGGAAACTAAATGTTTTCATTAAACTCAGAATTGAGTGAATTTTTGTAAGTTGACTCACACCCGAAAAAATTACCCAAGAGTGATGCTTAGGCCAAATGCCAACGTTTTCATTTCTGGAGGGGACTCTTTCTGAGAGCTGGGAACCGGATGCTTACTCTCAGAACATCCTGTTGAACAGTTCTCACGTTAGAGCTTAGGATCAATATCTCATCCTCACCGATTTCACTTCTCTGGTAATCACGGTATTATTCCTCAGATCTGTTGTTTCTCCTCTGTGCAGTGCATGGAAAACCCTCCGCATTCTTAATCATTGTGTCCTTATTTTCTACAGGATCTACAAACCTTTTTTCTTCTCTGCTAACACAAGGCAATGAAATTACCTAGGATCTGACCTTCATTATTATTTTTCTGAAACTTTTCCCTAGTTATCTTGCTTGGAATTCGGACATCCCTCATGCTGCTCAATCACCCAGGTCAAATGGCGAAGGGCATGTACAACTGCAGGCATCTGTTCGCCTTTGTTGAATGACTGCTGTTGTTAATTTCACTCTAAATGTAATCTAATTCTGACTATGTAGGGTTAGCTTGATGGTAATTTCCCACAACAGACTAGATCATGACCCTTGGCAGGCAAAAGGATAAGAAGAGGATAGTATGATGAGCAGAGCAAGTTGAAAGGGAAATTACTAATGTGCAAGAGTATAAGAAATTTATTTATTTTTTTGTATTTATTTACTTGTTTATTTACTTGTTGAGCACAGAATTTTTGCACTGCGCTGTATCCCCAGGCCTGATTTTATTTTAATTTAATTTAAATTAATTTTTTGGCACTGGGATTCAAACTTTAACCTTGTACTTGCAAGGCAAGGGGTGGCACCACTGAACTAAATCCCTGGCCCCTTTATTTTTTATTTTGAGGTAGTCTTGCTAAACAGTTGATTTACTCTGCTGGCCTTGAACTTGTGATTCTCCTGCCTCAGCCTCTGTGTGCTTGAATGACAGGCGTGTGCCATGGTGTCTAGCAGAGATAATATAGAGTGTAGAAAGGTGATGAAAAATATTACTTCTAAAAACTAAGTTCATCCATTCATTCATACCCTCGAGCATATACTATGCACTAGGCACTACTTTAGGTTTAAAAATGAAACAGACAGCTTGGACCCTGGCCGCATAGAGTTTGTATTTAATGGAATGTTAGGTGACATAAGCAACCAACAAATGTTTCTGTGCCTGCAAAGAAAAAAAAAAAAAGGTAGTGTGCTTTCCCAGAGAATGATGGGTGCGGGTGGGGACTCAGGTAGATTGGCCCAGAGGAAGCTAGCCTATGAGGGGTAGGGGAGAATATCGCATACCGTGGGATAAGCATGAGAGAAGGCCTGTGGAGGAAAAATGGAAAGAGCAGGTGTGGATTAAACCAGCATGAAAGAGCTGTGTGGACAGTGGGGCAGGGCTAAGACTAAAGAGGTCAGCAGAGCCCTGAGGCCCCACTAGGACTCTGTCTACCTTGATGTTGGGTACAGTAGTGAAACAACCCAAGTTATCACTTAGAGCAGGAGCCAAGTAGGGAATTTCTTACAGGAGCTTAGCTGATGGCCATTTAAATTAGAATCATGGTGATAATACAATGAAGGAGGTGATCAAAACCAAAAAAATATGTAAGCATAGTGCTTTCATTCTGAGAAGACTTTAAAGGCTACTTCCTAGTGGTTTTAAAATTTCAAATAGTGGACCTGATATTCCAAATGAATCTTTGATACCTAAAATAGATCAAAGTAGCCAGGCATGGTGGCACACACCCATAATCCTAGGACTATGGGAGGCTGAGGCAGGAGGATCATATGTTCAAGTCCAATTTGGCAACTTAGTGATTTACTGAGAACTGGTCACAAAATTTTTTAAAAATAATAATAATAAAAAAAATGAGGCTGGGGATGGATCTCAGTGTGATGGTCCAGTACTGATAGATAGGTAGATAGATAGATTGATCGATCGATAGGTAGATAGATAGACAGATAGATAAAAGCAGAATCCTGAATGATAGGTTAACGCTCCATCTGTGTAGCTTTCCTCCTGTATTCCTACCATGCCATGATTCTGCAAACATCTCTCTTTGGAATCATGGGCCCCAAACCACAATTCATGAACCTTTGATCTAATATAACCCCACATGTTACAGATGACGTCCTATAGAGTCATCGGAGGCCCCTGTGTATTAGAGGAAAGGAGAAGCATGTAAAAGTCAATACAACTGTTAGCATGATATGTAAGGAGAAAAGTCAGTGACCAACCTAAAATGAATACACTGGTTAGAACTAATACTCTCTCCATCAGTCAGATGTGAATGTGCTGGGTTTTCAGGGTAAAGGAATGAAGAATCAATCTCCGGAAAAGGGAAATGTTATTTTCAGATTTCTAAAGGGGAACAATACCCCTCTTGTTCACTTTAATTTGTAAAAGTATTGTCCGGTAATGCTGTGTAAAAACCACAAAATCTCAGGGACATTCAGACATGCATCTTTAATTATTGCCTGAGTATGGATGAGCTGGGAGACGCTGATACAGATTGGGCTTGGCTGGGTGGCTCTACATCCAGTGGTGTGTCTGCCTGTCTGGATCTTGCTGCTAGCCAGACTCAGCTCTGCTTCGGCATTTCTCCCATTCTCATGGCTGAAAAACTTGCAGAAATGCTTATGTCCGAAGAAAGTACAGAGCCAGCCTCTCACAGTTTGGAGTAGAACAAGTGGACAAGCAAACTGGCCAAAGCATGTGACCCTGTTGAAAAAGAGGCTTCAGTTACATGGGGAAGGGCAAGGGCATTGTGAGGAGTCAATAACGGGAACCAAACATTCAATTTTCTATGATAAAACTCTCAGTTCAGCTCTGTTGGAGTTCTCCTCTCAGTTTAACCCCCTTTGGAAAATTCTGTTTTTGTTTCTCTCTCTTCGGGAGAGCTTTGGTATCAGGTTGATTTGTCTACCTTATTGACTTATCACATAGTCTTTCTTGAGACTTATTAACTTGAGAACTCTCCAGTTTGAGACAAAAATGGATGTTGCTAGATTATTTTTGGAATTAGACTATGAATGCCTCTTGAGGGGAGTGCTGTGGATCCTTCATGAAAGGGGAGTGAGAATTCTGTCAACAATTGTCAAATAAGAAGATGCTATTGTATCTCCTAATTCAATGTATCCCAATAAGAGACAGCTTAGGACGAGAGATATTGATTAGTAATTAAATTCACTTTTTTCCCTGAGGACTGCAATGCATTTTTCACTGGTTTTATTTACCTGTGATAATCCTGTCTTTCTTTGTAAAGATTTTACCCCTTGGTGATCTCATGAATGTTATAGACATAACTGAGGTTCTCTTAGAATGCTTTCGTAAATCTAAAAGTGGAAACACAGGGTTGAATTTAAAGTGATTTGGCACTACACCATTTTATGGTTATTCACCTTTTGAACTCACTAATTATACTCCTATAAATTTATACATAAATCTGTATATTTTCACATTTATAGTGCAAATACTTATGGTATGTCATTAAATTGTATTCATTTATATTAACTTTGTTATTAATACACTTCTGTGATCTGGACGGGTCTGTATGTTACACTATTTTGCCCAAAGCATTTTTGTATCTTAGTCATTTTTGCAAACTTGTCCTTTAAAAAACAGCAATCAGGCAGTTGTGGTGGCGCACGCCTATAATCCCAGCACTTGGGAGGCTGAGGCAGGAGGATCTCTATGAGTTCAAAACCAGCCTGGGCTACATTATAAGTTCCAGGTCAATCTCAACTACACAGTGAAACTCTGTCTCAAAAAACAAAAACAAACAAACAAACAAAAAAAGCACTCATTCTTATGCAGTTTTTATAGTGTGCTCTTTAGAGATACAGGAGTCCACATAGGATTCCCTTAGGTGAAAAGTTCTGAGCAACAATCATTTTAATACCCTAACTAATGTTTAATAAAGTTTAATATATAGTACTTTAAATGGGATAAATTATGTGTTCAAAATCTTTTTGGATCTTAAAATAATTGTTTTAATCATTATTATTTCAATAATTATAATCATTACCAATATTAAAATTGAGGAAGTTGTATCATCTAAACCATCTCCTTTATTAACTTGTAACTGTCATGAGTATTTCCTTTTCATACTATTCCAAACCACATTTATCATTAAAGAATTGAAGAAGAAAAAACATTTATGTATTTAGATAACATAGTTAAAGCATGTAAACTAGTTAGTGTTCATCAGTTATCTCTATATGAGTTGTTGCTATGCTAGTAGTATTGGTCTTAATTTCATATATCATTTATCAAAGTACTATGTCATTTATGGTTTAAACCCTGGCATGCAATTAAAGATAACGAAAGGTTAAGAAAAATTATCAATGGAAAATTATCAATGGAAGTATCAGTAAAAACCCATGTCATGTCTCTCTTTGACAGGCTTGTCTATTCTGATGTTTTAAGAGTCCCCAGTGAAGAAATATCTCACCGTTATTTAGAAGATGTTTATTTTTTTTCTCATTGAGTTTATTGGTACTTTTTAGTTATATAG